TCAACTAAACCATAACCAATCATCACGTGAGATGGAGTAGTTTTCAATGGTGAACATCGTTATGTTGATCATATCTACTATATGATTCACGCTCGACCTTTCGGTCTCCGTGTTCCGAGGCCATATCTGCATATGCTAGGCTCGTCAAGTTTAACCTGAGTATTCTGCGTGTGCAAAACTGGCTTGCACCCGTTGTAGATGGACGTAGAGCTTATCACACCCGATCATCACGTGGTGTCTGGGCACGACGAACTTTGGCAACGGTGCATACTCAGGGAGAACACTTCTTGATAATTTAGTGAGATATCATCTTATAATGCTACCATCAATCAAAGCAAGATAAGATGCATAAAAAGATAAACATCACATGCAATCAATATAAGTGATATGATATGGCCATCATCATCTTGTGCTTGTGATCTCCATCTCCGAAGCATCGTCATGATCACCATCGTCACCGGCGCGACACCTTGATCTCCATCGTAGCATCGTTGTCGTCTCGCCAATCTTATGCTTCCACGACTATCACTACCGTTTAGTAATAAAGTAAAGCATTACATCGCGATTGCATTGCATACAATAAAGCGACAACCATATGGCTCCTGCCAGTTGCCGATAACTTGTTTACAAAACATGATCATCTCATACAATAAAATTCAGCATCATGCCTTGACCATATCACATCACAACATGCCCTGCAAAAACAAGTTAGACGTCCTCTACTTTGTTGTTGCAAGTTTTACGTGGCTGCTACGGGCTTAAGCAAGAACCAATCTCACCTACGCATCAAAACCACAACGATAGTTTGTCAAATAGACTCTGTTTTAACCTTCGCAAGGACCGGGCGTAGTCACACTTGGTTCAACTAAAGTTGGAGAGACAGTCGCCCGCAAGCCACCTGTGTGCAAAGCACGTCGGGGGAACCGGTCTCGCGTAAGCATACGCGTAATGTTGGTCCGGGTCGTCTCGTCCAACAATACCGCTGAACCAAGTATGGCATGCTGGTAGGCAGTATGACTTATATCGCCCACAACTCACTTGTGTTCTTCTCGTGCAAATAACATCAATCCATAAAACCTAGGCTCGGATGCCACTGTTGGGTTTCGTAGTAATTTCAAAAAATTTCCTACGCACATGCAAGATCATGGTGATGCATAGCAACGAGAGGGGAGAGTGTTGTCTACGTACCCAAGCAGACCAACTGCGGAAGCGTTGACGCAACGTAGAGGAAGTAGTCGTACGTCTTCACGATCCAACCGATCAAGCACCGAAACTACGGCACCTCCGAGTTCGAGCACACGTACAGCTCGATGACGATCCCCCGACTCCGATCCAGCAAAGTGTCGGGGAAGAGTTCTGTCAGCACGACGGCGTGGTGACGATCTTGATGCACTACAGCAGCAGGGCTTCGCCTAAACTCCGCTACAGTATTATCGAGGAATATGGTGGCAGGGGGCACCGCACACGGCTAAGGAATAGATCACGTGGATCAACTTGTATGTTCTAGGGTGCCTCTACCTCAGTATATAAAGGATTAGAGGGGGGAGGCTGGCCGGCCAAGGTGTGGCGCGCCAGGAGAGTCCTACTCCCTCTGGGAGTAGGATTCCCCCCCAATCCTAGTTGGAATAGGATTCGCGGAGGGGGAAAAGAGAGGGAGGGGGCCGGCCACCTCTCCTAGTCCTAATAGGACTAGTGGGAGGGGGGAGGCGCGCAGCCCATGTAGGGCTGCCTCTTCTCTTTTCCACTAAGGCCCATCATGGCCCATTTAACTCCCGGGGGGTTCCGGTAACCTTCCCGGTACTCCGGTAAAATCCCGATTTCACCCGGAACACTTCCGATATCCAAACATAGGCTTCCAATATATCAATCTTTACGTCTCGACCATTTTGAGACTCCTCGTCATGTCCGTGATCACATCCGGGACTCCGAACAACCTTCGGTACATCAAAATGTATAAACTCATAATATAACTGTCATCGTAACCTTAAGCGTGCGGATCCTACGGGTTCGAGAACAATGTAGACATGACCGAGAGACGTCTCCGGTCAATAACCAATAGCGGGACCTGGATGCCCATATTGGCTCCTACATATTCTACGAAGATCTTTATCGGTCAGACCGCATAACAACATACGTTGTTCCCTTTGTCACCGGTATGTTACTTGCCCGAGATTCGATCGTCGGTATTCCTATACCTAGTTCAATCTCGTTACCGGCAAGTCTGTTTACTCGTTCCGTAATACATCATCCCGCAACTAACTCATTTAGTTGCAATGCTTGCAAGGCTTAAGTGATGTGCATTACCGAGAGGGCCCAGAGATACCTCTCCGACAATCGGAGTGACAAATCCTAATCTCGAAATATGCCAACCCAACATCTACCTTTGGAGACACCTGTAGAGCTCCTTTATAATCACCCATTTACGTTGTGACGTTTGGTAGCACACAAAGTGTTCCTCCGGTAAACGGGAGTTGCATAATCTCATAGTCATAGGAACATGTATAAGTCATGAAGAAAAGCAATAGCAACATACTAAACGATCGGGTGCTAAGCTAATGGAATGGGTCATGTCAATCAGATCATTCAACTAATGATGTGACCTCGTTAATCAAATAACAACACTTTGTTCATGGTTAGGAAACATAACCATCTTTGATTAACGAGCTAGTCAAGTAGAGGCATACTAGTGACACTCTGTTTGTCTATGTATTCAATCATGTATTATGTTTCCGGTTAATAAAATTCTAGCATGAATAATAAACATTTATCATGATTATAAGGAAATAAATAATAACTTTATTATTGCCTCTAGGGCATATTTCCTTCAATTGTCAGCTTGTTTTCTCTTTTATTTATTTGCTTCCCTCCGCTTGCGAGCTGTAATACTTTTAAGACTTTGTGATACTTCGTGGATTGTTTAATAAGATGGCTGCATGCATCATCATGATGCAGAGGCCGGGGGCACACCTCCATTTCCAAAAAAATATTTGTTAGACCCCCCAAATCTTCTACCTTATTTAACAATTTTGTCCTCCCATAGCTGATGGCTCCATTCAACACTTTAACACCGCCAAGCGTTGTGGAGGCCAACCTAGGCCACGACCCCCCTTTCAAAACTGCAGAAAACAATTTACTAGGTATATTTAACACTTTAACCCAGCTCATTAATAGATAAATAAGAAAGCCCACCCATCGAATTGTCGAAGTGTATAGCTTCATCGCTCTAGCCCTAAAAGAAGCATCACTCTAGCCTAGTCACCTCGTGCTCGTCCATGACCCCATCCTCCACCAGCCTCCAACGTCCCGTGACTTGATGGCTACTTGATTTATCGATATGGCTCCTCATGGCCCCACAAGATATTGGAGCTGCGTGGCCGACGCCCTGGAGGCTAGACTACAATCCCTTTTCCTGGTTGTGCGTCTCGTCTTGACGATTGGAGTTACACCGCACGCCTACACGCGTCTCATCTTGACGATTAGAGTTACGCCGCACACCTACGCCGCCGACCGGCGATATGCCATGCGCCAACACGCTGGTTCGTTACAGTAGTGGGTACTTAGGTTATGCATATCCACTATGTATGCGTCATTTTTTATTATTCGATTGAGAATTGAGTAATTTACTCCAATGTGTTGATCGATTAATGGATATAATTTTGCATTTGTGTGTTTTTGATGTGAAGTTACCCCCCCTCTTGTAATTAGCTCACGCGCTGCCACCGTTGAAGGTGGTGGCTCAAAACTTGGCTTCGGAGATGAAAAATCCATGTTCAACCTTTGGTTGAAGTCGTCAATATCGACTCGCACGCATGACAATCCTCTTTTTGAAGGCTTTGTCTGCAAGTAGCACAATTTTTTTAAATTCGATCACATGATATAGGATTTCTCGTAGGATCGTGGTGATCTTATAGTGGGGAAGATCCTTTTGGACGGCCTCGATCTTTCTTTATTTTTCTGCAAGCCGATTTGATTCCGGACTTGCTCGGCATCATTAAATAATCAATAATATGTGTGTGTGCATCAATTGATGCAGAGGTTGGGGTGGTTATTATTGTGGAAACAAGTTAAAACGAGAATACATATTGTTAAATCCCCCAAATTTGCTAGCTTATTTAACAATTTTGTCCTCCCATAGCCGATGGCTCCATTCAACCATTTGCTTACTTTAGAATTTCTTTACATGCAAACCTTTAGCTTGTTCCTAAAGTTGCAAGCCTATATCTGTTTGTGTGCAAGTGCAACAAAAGAGGAGCTCCAAAGCTAGTGCCCCGTGAACAGGGCCCTAGAATAAGGGGAACAGGTGAACGGTGATGCAAACGAAGAAAGGAATGCAAGAAAATGGAAGGGTGTACTGTTTAACTTCGAAAGCCATAACCACTGCCATAGTACAACATTGCTCCTACCCGTTGTATGTTTCACTATCTTTTTTTGTTGCTATTGCATGGGCGCTTAAAGTAGAGTGTGCATCCATCCACAATTTTCATTAGGTCCTAATTAACCGGATAAAATAGCCCGCATTTTGATGCGGACAAGCAACTTGAACGGCGATGGTACCACCAACAAAGTTCAAACAAAATCAACAGAATGAATAGCAGTACTACACCTACTCACGATTCATGAACTGGACCACAAACATCCGAACTTGGCTCCAAATGTCCAAAGTCCAAAGCATGAATGTTCCAAAACCATTACTTTCATAAAAGGATGTTTCCAGAGAAAAATATTATGGTTATCCTTTCTAGGACAGGTTACATAAACTAAATCACACTTGCCCACTAAATCTCACCACTTATCGTCTCCCGCGTGCTGGTTTTATCCCCCCAATGCCATATGTAAGATCCTAAACCTCAATCCCTAAAGATTAGCGTCCGGCTGAATCCATCCAGTACTACTACTTAGAACCCCTCAAAAGCAGCACCACTCGCTCCTGGCGAGTGATCACATTCACACAGTCACACACACGCTCCTCACGTTGCACATTTGGCACTGCCATAGCCATCATGGGGTGCACCACCTCGAGGCAAGCTCGGCATGACCTCCGGTACTGCCCGTCGCCGCTCCCGCTGCCGCGCTGCCAGTCGTTCCCCGCCCGCTTCGACGCCGGCGCCCACCTCGTGCGGCTCACGTCGTCCACGCTCGGGTCCCTTGAGGTCGACAAGGCCGCCGGACTGCGTGCGCCCGAGGCCGCTGACGCCGGCGTGTGCGCGCCCAGGAGGTTCGTGCCGCGCACGCCGACCATGACGCCGCCCAACGAGCCCGAGGACATCGACGCGTGGGCGCTCATGGCCGGCCTGGAGGAGCACTCGCCGTTGCTGGCCGCGCCGTTCGGGCGCCACTCCTTCTCGTTCCCGATCGCCGCCGCGGCACAGCAGGAGTTCGCCGCGTCATCCAAGGTCACGCCGCTTCCCATGAGGATGCCCTCCGTGAACGACGAGGAGACGGCGAGCAAGGCCAAGGCGCCGCCGCCGCCGCGTAAGGCCGTGCTCTACTTCACGTCGCTGCGCGGCGTGCGCGCCACGCACGAGGACTGCAGCCTGGCGCGCGCCATCCTCAAGGGCTACGGCGTGCGCATCGACGAGCGGGACGTGTCCATGCACCGCGGCTTCCGCGACGAGCTGCACGGCCTCCTCGGCCTCAGGGCCGGCGCCCTCGCCAAGTGCTGGGCGCCGGCCGCGCCGACACTGCCGAGCCTGTTCGTGGACGGGGAGCTCGTGGGCAACGCGGAGGAGCTGAAGCGGCTGCACGAGACAGGGGAGCTGGCCGCGAGGCTCGCCGGGTGCGAGAGCGGGGGCCCCGGCGCGTGCGAAGCGTGCGGGGACGCCCGGTTCGTGCTCTGCGAGGCCTGCTCCGGCAGCTGCAAGGTGTACGTGGACGAAGAGGACGACGAGGAAGAAGACGGCGAAGGGACGGACGGCGGCGGCGCGGGGTTCCGGCGGTGCACGGAGTGCAACGAGAACGGCATCGTGAGGTGCTCCGTCTGCTGCTGCTCCTGAGACGTTGCAGAATTTTGCCGGTGCGCCACTTGGATGTGGTGCTCAGCTCCTGTGATTTTGTGTATGCATGACCGTACGCGTGTGTGTTTTCGCGTGATCAACGGTGCGTGACGCGCTTGCTGTTTCCTCAATGGGTAGAGATACCAACGCTGCATGCTTGACTCATGTGGCGTCCACTGTTCATGATGTTATTTGAATTGAGCCAAATGTTCCACAGCAAAATTCAGATAGTTCTTGCCGGCCCCAGCGGCAGTGGACCGTTTCCTTTACGCGTCTCGCTGACTGGTCCGACTTGCTGCTAGCTGCTAGTTCTAGGTTCTAGCCTAACATAGTGTTATAGTGTAGGCGGGTAGCGGAGCCAGTGGCCGTCTCCGTTCAAAGCCGGCGCCGCATCGTAGGCTCCTTTTTGAAGAAAAGAAATGCAAAGCGAGCCACAAGATGAGGACAATTGGAGCAAAACAGGGTACTCCAACCAAAAATTTCCAATGTAGTAGTAGTATATACATACATAGCCCCGTAGTTTGTAGATCAATCATCATCTAGCAGGGATGCGGACGCAAGTTTAGTGGAAACGGACAAGCCTTGTTTGGAGTAGTAAGGCCAACTCCAACGCACGACCTCAAATGAACGCCCGTTTCATCCGTTTTTTGTCCGTTTGAGGGTGACAATGAAGCCGTGTTTGGTCGAATTTGGCGATATGCCGGTCATGCGCCCAACGGACGACCGTATTTCGGCCGCATCTCGTTCGTTGTGCATGCAAAATAAGAAAAGAACAAATGGTATAGCTAAATGGCCATAATTCACGCCAGTGGCCGTGTTCTCTCCAGTTCATGCCGGCCGGCAACAAAGCCAGCAACCTACAGAATGGTCACCCAAGTTTCACGCTGGCAACAAAGCTAGTGGCCGGCACACGAGCCAACCTTCAAAATGGACAAGTTTTTGGGGCCGACAACAAAGCCAACGGCAGGCACATGAGCCAGCCTTCAAAATGACAAGCTTTTGGCGCCGATAACAAAGCCAGTGGCCGGCACAACAGCCAACCTTCAAAATGGACAACCACCGTGGCCATGGTCTCCCCTAGTTCAGGCCGTCGCGAGCGAATATCTCCTTCTGTCGGTTCGCGAACCAAGCCTTCCTCTCTGGTGACATGTTGTTCTTGTTGACTCTCATGAACGCGAGTGCCACCTCTTTGGCTTTGGTCTCGGCATTGGTGGCCTCGATCTCGAGCTTCTTGAGTTGAGCGGCCTCCTCGATGTCAAGCTTCCTCCTCTTCATGGCCTCCTACATGTCAAGCTTCTTCGTTTGAAGATCTAGGTATATCTTCATTTGCTCTTCCTTCCCTTTGCTCTTCCTCTCCTCCCGCACTTCATTTTGGCTCATCATGTTCTCCAAAGTTCCTTGCAAGGCTATAAAAGACACATCACGCTTCTCGCCGGCCTTCGAGCTTGTCTTGCCCCTCGGCCTCTTGTGCAAGTCTTCCTCATCAGCCAAGTCCGCCTTCCCTCCTTTCTTCTTACGAGCGGCATATTGGTCATTGAACTTGGGGCAATCTTTGATGAGCACCCAACAATGCGTTAGACTAAACGGCTTGTTCTTGTGCCAGGCCTTGAATGCCTCCAAAGATTGGAATGCCTACACAATCAAAGATGCGTCCAGAATTGTAACATGAAACGACACAAAATGCATCAAACATAAATGGCATGCCAACATGAATGGACACAAATGGCATACCAAGTCACCCAGGCCTAGGCCGCTCACGGGACGGGCTTGAACGCTCTCAAGCGCGACGCAATACTTGTTGCACTCATGTTGGATGAACCCCCATCTCTTTTGGATTGAGTTGATGCTGCGTGTGCTCATAAATTGGCAGGGGGCAAACTTCCTTCGCTCGTGAAAGTTCTTGTGAACTCTTGTCCAAAAGACGAATCCTTTCTGCTTGGCACCTTTCATGGGATCTTGGCCTATCTCCATCCAACTCTCGCTAATCAAAGTGTCCTCATCTTGGGTGTACGATCCCGTGCGAATGTTTCCTCCTCTTTTGTGCCTTGGCACTTTGGGTGAGCTCATCGATAAACACCAATGGCTCAGCCGAAATGTCGAGCTTTTCTTTCTCATTTTCACAATACAAGTCAACATCTTCATTCCAAGAGCTGCCATGGTCATCCTCATCTTCATCATGGCCGGCCGGCGAATTGAGTGTCGTCATAGTAGCCGCGACCATCCTGGCTTTGGGTGACGTCGGGATCAAAAGCTTGGGCCTGGCCGTCGACATGGAAGGCTTCACCATGGCCCTCGAAGATGGCGTTCTCCATGAACGCCGAGTACTCAGGGTTGTCGGCCGTGGGCGTTGGCATTGGCATTTTGTCGAACAACCTGTGGGCGCCGGCCATGTTCGCCGAAGGGAACGACCGGGGATGCTTCCTTTGCATTCTGTTGGACGGTTGGCCAATGCCGCTGTACCCTGATAACCCACAAGTATAGGGGATCACAACAGTTTCGAGGATAGAGTATTCAACACAAATTTATTGATTCGACACAAGGGGAGCCAAAGAATATTCTCAAGTATTAGCAGCTGAGTTGTCAATTCAACCACACCTGGAAAACTTAATATCTGCAGCAAAGTATTTAGTAGCAAGTAATATGATAGTAGCGGTAACAATAGCAAAAGTAATAGTTTTGGTTTTATAGTGATTGTAACAGTGGCAACGGAAAAGTAAATAAGCAAAGATCAATATGTGAAAAGCTCGTAGGCAATGGATCAATGATGGATAATTATGTCGGATGCGATTCCTCATGCAATAGTTATAACATAGGGTGACACAGAACTAGCTCCAGTTCATCAATGTAATGTAGGCATGTATTCCGAATATAGTCATACGTGCTTATGGAAAAGAACTTGCATGACATCTTTTGTCCCACCCTCCCGTGGCAACGGGGTCCTATTGGAAACTAAGGGATATTAAGGCTGCCTTTTAATAGAGTACCGGACCAAAGCATTAACACTTAGTGAATACATGAACTCCTCAAACTACGGTCATCACCGGTAATTATCCCGATTATTGTCACTTCGGGGTTAACGGATCATAACACATAATAGGTGACACTTGCAACATAGGATCAAGAACTCACATATATTCATGAAAACATAATAGGTTCAGATATGAAATCATGGCACTCGGGCCCTAGTGACAAGCATTAAGCATAGCAAAGTCATAGCAACATCAATATCAGAATATACTGGATACTAGGGATCAAACCCCAACAAAACTAATTCGATTACATGATAAATCTCATCCAACCCATCACCGTCCAGCAAGCCTACGATGGAATTACTCACGCATGGCGGTGAGCATCATGAAATTGGTGATGGAGTAAGGTTGATGATGACGATGGTGACGGATTCCCCTCTCCGGAGCCCCGAACGGACTCCAAATCAGCCCTCCCGAGAGAGATTAGGGCTTGGCGGCGGCTCCGTATCGTAAAATGCGATGACTCCTCCCTGATATTTTTCTCCCCGAACGTGAATATATGGAGTTGGAGTTGAGGTCGGTGGAGCGTCAGAGGACCCACGAGGCAGGGGGGCGTGTCCAGGGGGTATAGGCGCGCCCCACCCTCGTGGACAGGGTGTGGGCCCCCTGACATTGATTCTTTTGCCAGTATTTTTTATATATTCCAAAAATATTCTCTGTGGATTTTCAGGTCATTCCGAGAACTTTTTTTTCTGCACAAAAATAACATCATGGCAATTCTGCTGAAAACAGCGTCAGTATGGTTTAGTTCCATTCAAATCATGCAAGTTAGAATCCAAAACAAGGGAAAAAGTGTTTGGAAAAGTAGATATGATGGAGACGTATCAACTCCCACAAGCTTAAACCTTTGCTTGTCCTCAAGCAATTCAGTTGATAAACTGAAAGTGATAAAGAAAAACTTTTACAAACTCTATTTGCTCTTGTTGTTGTAAATATGTAAAGCCAATATTCAAGTTTTCAGCAAATATTATGAACTAACTGTATTCACAATAACATTTAGGTCTCATGTTTACTCATATCAATGGCATAATCTGTTGGGGAACGTAGTAATTTCAAAAAATTTCCTACGCACACGCAAGATCATGGTGATGCATAGCAACGAGAGGGGAGAGTGTGATCTACGTACCCTTGTAGACCGACAGCGGAAGCGTTAGCACAACGCGGTTGATGTAGTCGTACGTGTTCACAGCCCGACCGATCAAGCACCGAAACTACGGCACCTCCGAGTTTTAGCACATGTTCAGCTCGATGATGATCCCCGGACTCCGATCCAGCAAAGTGCCGGGGAAGAGTTCCGTCAGCACGACGGCGTGGTGACGATCTTGATGTTCTACCGTCGCAGGGCTTCGCCTAAGCACCGCTACAATATTATCGAGGATTATGGTGGAAGGGGGCACCGCACACGGCTAAGAAAACGATCACGTGGATCAACTTGTGTGTCTAGGGGTGCCTCCTGCCCCCGTATATAAAGGAGCAAGGGGAGGAGGCCGGCCGGCCCTATTGGCGCGCCAAGGAGGAGTCCTCCTCCTAGTAGGAGTAGGACTCCTACTAGGAGGGGGAAAGGAAGTGGGGAGGGAGAAGGAAAGGGGGGCGCTGCCCCCCTCTCCTAGTCCAATTAGGACCAAGGGGGGAGGAGGCGCGCGGCCCACCCTGGCTGCCCTTCTCTCTCTCCACTAAGGCCCATATGACCCATTACTTCTCCCGGGGGCTTCCGGTAACCCTCCGGTACTCCGATTTTCTCCGAAATCACCCGGAACACTTCCGGTGTCCGAATATAGCCGTCCAATATATCAATCTTTATGTCTCGACCATTTCGAGACTCCTCGTTATGTCCATGGTCACATCCGGGACTCCGAACTAACTTCGGTACATCAAAAACTCATATAACTGTCATCGAAGCCTTAAGTGTGCGGACCCTACGGGTTCGAGAACAATGTAGACATGACCGAGACATGTCTCCGGTCAATAACC